TACAATGCAATTTGCGTATATAGCTCGCCGAAATTAGCAAAATAGCTGTTAAATATATTTGCCACATTTTTTTATTTATTACTACACTATATTCATCATCAAATATTTCTTCTATCTCTAATGTTTTATTGCTTTTATTGATTTGTTTAATTGTGTTCCACAACGCCTTTCAATTATTTTTATGTTTATTTATTTCTTTTTGGTAACAGTATTTTTTCCCTTCTGCTAATAATTTCGTTAATTTATTTCTATATTTTACAGAAGTACTTTTTATTTCCATATTATTAAAATTTTGTTTGTTGGATCTATATAATTCATTTTTTTTTTTTTAATTGAACTAATAATCCCTTGAGTTATCCATACATTTCTTTTCATTTCATTTCTTTTTGGTTTTATTAATTTAGTATTTATAATTATTAGATTTTTGAAATTACTTATGTAAGATTTTCTACATCCACTGAGTTGTGCATATAGTTCCAATCATGAGTTCATAATTTGGCATTAATTTTTTGATTATCTATTTTTGTTATTATGCGTTCATGTGAGTTTTTTTACTATTTTTAAAGGAAGAGTAATAAAGGTAGCTCTGTGGTCAGTTATTTTAAGATCCAGTACTGACGATATACAATTTGTTTCGGGATCAAGAATACCTTTGGCTAATATGATTTATACAACTCTTTGTTTCACCTTGTATATGAGTACTTTTATTGATAAGAGAGATAAAGTCGTTTTCACTAAAGGAATTCAAATATTCTAATAACTTTATTAATTTAAATATAACTAAAATCTAAAACGAACTTACCTGCAATTATCCAATTATTTATGTATACAATAATTATTTATAAACTATTCAATGCTGTAGCTAATTTGTCTCTATAATAAATAAAAGAAAAAATAGTAAAAAAAAAGAAATGCTATGTAGAATATAATTCTCAAAGTATCCCACGCACAAGGTTCGCCTTTAGTGGAACCACTATTTATTCACATAGACAATTTTTTTTCTGTTAAATATAAGTTAAAATTGTAATTCGATTTTTAAAGTGAATAAATTTATTATTTATTATTATTATATTATTATTATTAATTTCGGTTTCCACTTCAATGTATACATTAATGTCACCTGTTATAATAGACCCTATAATAATAAACCACAAAAAAGACAATGATAATGATACCACTTAGATTAAAGAGACCGAAGATGTAACATTGCACACTGCGCATGTTGTCTGTTTTAACCCAAAGTAACCCACCAATTGAAAATCATTGTTTGCACGACGCCACCCGAATTGCTCCGATTTTTCCATTCATCGATCACCTCCACCTGAGTTTAATCACCATTTACAGCTGTTTTTTGATTTATTTTTTGGTATTTTAGCAATTTAAAGTGCTTTAGTTAATCAATTTCAAGTTCAAAATGCCACGATGTATATTGAAAAAATGTATGTATTTAGAATACAAGTACTAATGTTATGAACATATTCGTTTTCAGCGGTAAATATTTATTAACGTTTTGACATAAAGCGCCATGTTTCTCTGGGCTGAATACTTCAGATCCGCATTAAGGAGTTTCAATAAATATTAAGCATCCGAAATCAGATTTAATATTAATTACATAAATTTACAAAAAGATAAAATTTTTAACATTTAATTTAAATAAAAAGTAAATAGGCATTGTTGCTAACGAAATTTTGTATTTAAAAAGTAGTTTTATAAGAATGTTTTCTAAAGGTGATTTTAAGCCCCTTTTGGTAGATAAATAAGAAGTAAAGACTCATAGTTGCTAGCTAAATTTTATTTTTATAAGGTATTTTTATAAGAATATTAGATGAAATACAGGATGACCTACTTAAAATTACAAGGTTCATCTTATTTGCGGTCAAATCGAAAGTGACATTTGAATCTTCAGTCTTAAAACAAAGTAAAACTCACCATATGATCTAGTATAAGCAAAACAAATACTAAAGTTACGGGAGTTGGTCACATTAATAAAATGTTACATTACAAACCCCTAAACAACTCGAACAAAATTTTCGTTTAATAAAAAAATCCATAATTTAGCAATATTTATTATTTATTATACAATCGAATGCGGTTTCAAAGATAACGGAATCAAAAAATCCGAATCTCTAAATTTTTGAGCTAAACGCTCGGATAAAAGCAAACGACCGATAGGGGTTACAAAAATATTCGATTTATCGATAATTCTGATATTTTTTTTATGAAAATCGATTTATCCGCTGTTTTTAATAAATTATTTTTGTTTTTTTAAGATAATGTATTAATCGATTTTAAAGGAAATACAATAAAATAGATAATTGATAATAATCGATTTATCATAGAATCGGCTTCTTAATTAATTGGTTATTTTCGATTAGGCGATTATTTTGGAATTATCGATTATTTTCAGTATTTCAAAGATAATCGAATTATCGATTTTAAAGGAAATACAATAAAATAGATAATTGATAATAATCGATTTATCATAGAATCGGCTTCTTAATTAATTGTTTATTTTCGATTAGGCGATTATTTTGGAATTATCGATTATTTTCGGTATTTCAAAGATAATCGAATTATCGATGTTAAGGAAATACAATAAAATAGATTATTGATAATAATCGATTTATCATAGAATCGTCTTAATTAATTGGTTATTTTCGATTAGGCGATTATTTGGAAATTATCGATTATTTTCGATATTTCGAAGATAATCGAATTATCGATTCTAAAGGAAATACAATAAAGTAGATTATTAATAATAATCGATCGATGAAAAATAATCAATTATTTAAAATATTCGATAATTCTGTTTTTTTTTTTAAATTGATTCATCAGTTAATCGACTTTTTAATTAATCGATTATTTTTGATTAATCGATTATTTTAGATTTTTCAAAGATTGTCAAATAATCTGTTTCAATGGACGAAAAAAATGGATTATTAGGAAATAATCGATAATTCGGTTATTTTTTGGAAAATCGATTTATCGTAGAATCGGCTTCTGAAATAATTGGTTATTTTCGACAGACGATTATTTAGGAATAATCTATTATTTTTGGTATTTCAAAGATAATCGAATTATTGATTTTAAAGGAAATACAATAAAAATAGATTATTGATAATAATCGATTGATCGAAAATAATCGATTATTTAAAATAGTCGATCATTCTGTTTTTTTTTTTGAAAATCGATTTATCAGTTAATCGACTTTTTAATTAGTCGATTATTTTTTATTAGTCGACTATTTTCGATTTTTTAAAAATTATCGAATAATATGTTTCCACGGACGAAAAAAAAATGGTTTATTTGAAAATAATCGATTATTTACAATAAACGATTATTTAAAATAAACGATAGTTCTTTTTTTATTATATTTTGTAAACACTGTTTTATCGGTTAATTGGCTTTTTAATTATTCGATTATTTTTGATTTTTCAAAGATAATCAAGTAGTCGATTTTAAAGGAAATGACAAAAAAATATGTTGTTTGAAAATAATCGATTGATCGAAAATAATCGATTATTTTCAATGATCGATAATTTATTTCAATAATCACTCATCCCTAGCGACCAAATTACTTTTAATAGATTTGAATTTTAAAATGTTATCTGGTTTCAGACATATTATACATTTCTAGAGTTTTATGTGACTCATCCCTTATAATAATTAATATTCCTAAAGAAAGAAGCCTTAACATACCTTTTTCTGAGGTTATAATACAAAACAGCATTTTCTCATTTTGACTAATTTTTATTATTATGTAATAGCCGTAGAAAAAATATAATGTTCAACTCATAAGGTTAGATTTGCAGTATTCGCCTGCGCACATGCTATTTTTATAATACTCCTAGACAATGAGTAACATTTTTTGCTCTATCAATAATATATTCTATTTCAACATTTTACTGTAATCTCTTGCAGAAAAGTCCGTAGTAAATAAACGCTAACGAAATATTCTATAAAAGGTCTTCTCTTTACATAAAATGTCGTGGCATCTGTTTGATATTAAAAAATCACGTTAATTTTGTTTCATAATACAAAATTCGATTAAACACCTTTTAAATAAATTTAATAGTTGATTATGATGCTAATAAATATAGTCCGGTCCCTGCCACAGAGTTCAGGTCGCCGCGTGTCGCCGCCCAGTTCCCCCACTCCGTTAACCTTTCTTTAGAAATTGGCAACATTTGCGCAGGTTAAACACCGGTGTATGTTATATCTCTGGTCTCTTTTATCTAAGTGATACCAGTAGTTATAGTGAAGACAGTGACTTTTTATTTTTTTGAATCTTTGGTTTTAGATATTGAAGTGTTACTTTTAATACCAAGAGATTGACAAAATTGTGATCCTATTTTACAACATATAATCCTCCTTGTTATTTATTGGTTAAATTTAATTCGTTCAATGTTGAAGTGCAACAATTTTGTCAGAAGCATAAGGTTTATTTTATTTTTTGTAGATAAAATAACTTTTTTTATTCAAAATTGAATTTACGAAGTGCACATATACCATTTTGTATGCTGTGACTTTATTTATATTATAGAAACTTATTTTGCAAAGTACGCCTATGGAATATGATGTTATATCCCCACTTTTACTGCACTTCTCTTAAATTCAGACTATACTCATATTTTAACAAACAGAATTTTATAATTTAGTCAAAATTAAAAAAACAATCTTGAAAGCAACCGTTTTATGTAAATCGTTCATGTTGCTAGATATCGCTCTATTAGTCCCGCAAATATTCACTCGTTACAAAAACTAAGGAATTTTTGTTGCATCAATAGCTATTAAAAAATTATTGATATTTTCTAAATTCTAATAATAAATAAATTTATGTGTGACATTTTTTATTTATCATTTGAAATGTATAGGTAATAAAAGTTTGTTCGGCTCTTGAAAATATTTCCTTTCTTTTTTTCGACACACCTGTATAATAAGGTCTTAAAACAGAATCACCTTTCTCAACAAAATTCATAAAATATCTCTGCGCTAATTACCTTTTTCTCGGCCATAATTTTTTTACCAAAGAGAATTAAATCCTTTGTATACTTTATGTACATCGAAAACGTGTTACGAGATCCCATATAAGCGAGATTCCTGCAGTCTAGAGCGGCCGAATGTCAAAGAAAAGGCAAAACCAAAAAGCCAAAAGCAGCAGGAGAACGTGTCCAACGACTAGAGGAGAGCGTGACAACGATCTTCATCCCAGAAGCTCTCTTATTGTCAACCTGATCCCTAAAAGAAGAACTAAGTTGGATGACGGCAACGGCGTGTGGTCCCTACAAGAACTAACACGTGGCAGATACCCCGACTGGCGACCCGGTGATTCTCCACTTTCCATATGTGGTTGTTCTGTGTATCCTTTTAATGTTGGTAGTGGCTAATCAACCGTGGAGACGTATAGGGAATATGTAATGAAATTTTAATAATAACTTTTAATCTTGAATTTACTTTTAAAATTAATTTGTTATCTAAGTATGTTGTTAAAATTAATAAAAATTATATCTCTTCTTGTTAGGAAAATTTATTATGGGTTTTTTTTTAAAGCAATGACTAATCTCTTCACTAATTTTCAGCAAAGTATTATTTAATACTTAATCTGGAAGACACGTTTGGACGGTAGTGTAACCAAAAATTAATTAAATAAACAATTTCAATAATTCGTATTATTTAATGAATAATATTTTTAATATAAAGATTTAAAATAGGTTAAATCTTATCATAAATTATTGTTTTAGGTTTGTTAACAATAGATTTTCAATTTTGTTATAAAATACTGTTAACGAAAAGCTAATAAAAAATATTTGTTGTACCCAATAAGATGTTGATGACCTTTGAACAAAATTAACTAGGTAAATTTATTACTTATCGAATTTGCTAGTTCCAACTTGTTGAAATAAATTCAACAAATTACTTACACAAATAAATAAATCACAGGCGTTATCCACTCCTCATTGGTTAACGTAGCAAGCGTCAACCTCAAGCTCTCTAAACGACTTATCTTCCTCTCCAAAACAGAGCTTTAGGTACCGTCAAGCACAACAAAGCGTTGGCGGTGATGAACAGGGACGCTGTGCCTGCCATTCTGTAATATTTTATTTTTCAAGTAACATGCCTTAAAGTAACAAATTTCCTAGAGAAATGCTTTAAATAATGTAAAATCTCCCAGACCTATGAATCAAAGAGGTATTTCAAACTTTCTTATTTCTACAGTCCATGAATTTAGTCAAGGGCCAAATATCTGCAGAATCAAATCTTACCACGAATCCTTCTAGTTTCTGGGCTTTTGTAAATAGGACGAAGGGTTTTAATTCCGTACCTAATAATATGAGTTATAATAATATTATTTTAGATAATCCTAATTCTATTTTAAATGGTTTTGCCGAACACTTTCAACAATCGTTCATTCAGTCGTCTGATCCATATTTTACAGTTGATGATACACAACAATATACTTGTTTTTCTATTAATAGTTTTAGTTAAAGAAAGTAAAAGCAAAGAAAACTATAGAGGTCCTGATGATATTCCGGCTTTTCTAATTAAAGACTGTGCACATGCCCTCTAATGGTGTTTTTAAATATATGTCTTAAAACATCTACCGTTCCAGATATGTGGAAGATATCGAAAGTGTGTTATATATTCAAAAAGGGAGATAGGAATGATGTAACCAATTAGAGACCAATATCTGTTTGTTTGTAAGTTTTCGAAGGTGTTCGAGGTTTTATTGTATCGCGATAATAATTTGCACGTCAGCGGTAAACTATTATTGCATCAACATGGTTTTGTACAACAACGTTCAATGCTAACTAATCTTGTTAACGTAATACATACACATTAAGCTACAATAGCTCTCGTAAGCTGTAGAAGAATATGTGGGAAAAACTGGGGTCTAAGCCCCAAAATGACCATATGGTTATACACAAGGGTAATAAGACCCATGATAACCTATGGCGCAGTGGCGTGGGTAACCAAAACTGCGCAGGCAAGTGCAATAGGCCAACTCACTAGCATTCAGCGGCTTGTCTGTCTAAGTGCTACTGGGGCCATGCGCACTACGCCGACCGCAGCAATGGAGATATTACTAAATCTCACGCCATTGCACATCTTGATACAAGGAGAAACCAGGTCAGCTATTCACAGGCTAATGCAGGGACAAAATCCAATAAGCCAACCACATAGCGCCGACCACACAAGGCTATATCAGCAAGTAAAAAGGAATAATATTCTAGCTATGCCTACTGATAGAGCCATAACCACATACAAATTTGAAAGAAATTTTCAAATTCAAATACCAGCCCGAGAATCCTGGAAACAGGGACCTCTTGTACAGGCTGAACTCGTCCGGTACACAGACGGTTCAAAAACCAAGGAAGGAGCCGGTGCTGGAATCTATGGACCTAAGTCGAAATCAACGATTTCACTAAGCTTTGGAAAATATGCAACAGTGTTCCAGGCTGAGCTAATAGCCATACAACACTGTTCAAGAGAAATATTAAATCAGCAAGTATCAGGCAAAACTATTGCCATATACTCTGATAGCCAAGCAGCTCTAAAGGCAATTCTCTCACCAGAAATCAAATCACGACTGGTGAAAGACTGTCTAGAAGACCTGACAGAGCTAAGTAGTCAAAATAAGGTGATCTTAGCCTGGGTTCCAGGCCATGAGGGATATCAGGTTAACGAAAAGGCCGATGAATTAGCCCGAAAAGGCTCAGATAAGGCCATGATAGGCCCTGAACCCTTCTGTAGAGTTGCTAAGGGATTGTGCAAGGCATCCAATAAACAATGGATGCAAAAAGAGTCTCAGGAATGGTGGAACAACTATCCAAGACTGAGACAGTCCAAACAGTTTATCAAAGAACCATCGGCCAAGTTTACGAAAGACCTACTGGATCAAAAACGTCAAATCGTTAGAATAACAGTAGGCCTTCTTACTGGACACTGTCGCCTCAAAATGTACATGAGTGTCATAAATCCAGCAGAAGAAGCAACTTTGTGCAGGTTCTGTGAAGAAGAAGAGGAAACATCATTCCACGTCCTGTGCCAATGTGAAGGCTTGGCTGGAATGAGGTTTCTAACATTGGGCAAAGAAAAGCCAATTGCATGCAACTACATGCGGGAGCCACTGTCAAAGCTACTAAGTCTAATAAAAAAGACCAGGCTAGACAACATACCCTAAAACAAACGGAGTCCCACAATAGATCTGAAAAGGTCGCGGTGGACAAGGACAAATAACGTCCAACTCCTAATCTAATCTAACGTAATACAAATCAGTGCCGAGATTATTGACAGTAAGAATGAGACGGACGTCGTATATACATATTTTACTAAGGCGTTTAACACATTGGATCACGGAACCTTGTTCACTAAATTAAAATTATTCGGATTTCATGATTCCCTCCTAAAACTATTAACATCCTTAAAGCCGTAAACAGTATGTGTATATAAATGACTTTAAATCAGTTAAGTATATCGCAAAATCAGGAGTTCCACAGAGTTCGAACCTGGGCCTTTTATTATTTATATTGTTTATTAAAGATATCACTGATATAATTCATGTTAATTGTATGTTATATGCCGACGATATAAAATTGTATGTGACCATTGCTCACAGATTCGACTGCGAACGCCTTCAAGCTAATATTGATAGAGTTGAAAACTGGTATCTGAGAAACAATTTATCGCTTAATGCCGCGAAATATTTTCTCATGTCATATGGTCTTAGCGCTAATCCTATAATATTTGATTACATCATTAACAACACAATCCTTCAAAGTACAACTACTATTACAGATTTAGGTATTACGTTCGATAGAGAATCATCTTTTGGTCTCGCATATAAATACTATTATATCTGCTGCTTCTCGTCTTTACGGATTTGGTGTACGTGCTAGTCGAGACTTAACTAATCCATCTACACTCACCACCCTCTACTATGCATTCGTAAGGTCAAAACTTGAGTATGCATCTATAGTTTGGAATCCATTTTATCAACATCATATTAACAACTTAGAACAAGTACAAAGACGATTTTAAAAAATGTATTAAAAAGCTCTCCCATTTATGTAATGTGTGAAGGTTCTAACGAAAGTGCAGTAATTTAGACATCTTATATTGTACTGTAAGTAAAATTAAGAACCATTTTCTTTTATATTAGCTTGTAACTCTTGTTGTCATTGTAACCTACTTACTTTTGAATGTTGTTGTTCAGATTGTGAATATTTTTTTTCTTGTAATCCTCTTCTTTAATTATTAGGTTTCCTGTAGAACAATGTATTAAATAAATAAATAAATAAATAAATATGTCGTGAAAACACCGGTAGAAGCCTGTATATCGGTGTGATTGATGCACAAATATTTTTGACAATAAAATACATTCAAATATTTGGAAATAAGAGATTCGGTTTAAAATAAATATCATTTGAGCAATAATAGAGCCAAAAATTCTAACAGTTGGTTTACAATTATTTTTTAAATACACTGGAACATTATTTTTATCTCGATTTTTCTTACATATAAGCGACTGTCAAAAACTGTATTTTCTTTTACTAAAGTTCCAATACACTAGTCTATTATTTTATTATTTACTTGTGAAAACCTAGCCATGGTAAAGAACAAATTGAAAGAAAAAAAAATAATATTTTAACATTTTCAAAATTGAATATTGTAGTGAAATTTCTGAAAATCAAAATATGAAGTAAAAATCAAGTGGTTGATATTGTCAAATAAGTTTTTGGAACGTCAGAAGAAAAAATGTTCATAATGTACCTATATATTGAATTAGTTGAAAGATAATATTAATAAATATTTAAACAAGGTTATTAAAATTACTGTATTGAAATAAAAAATAGTACAGAGAAATGAGATACTCAGATAACAAAACGGACCAAGAGTTAGACACTAGGGGAAAAGCAAACTTTCAGCAGAGAGGACACCAGGGTAAAAGCATAGTTACAGCAGAGGGTCAGAGAGGAAACCAGGGAGTGAAGATGACAAGCGGAGATAGCCGAGA